GTTTAGGGTTCAGCGTTGCGGATGCTTCAACGAATGCTCTCACACGCGCACGCCAGGACATGCATGCGCATGCAGACGCGAAGTGCAAAGTAGGAAACCCAAATTTTGAAGACTCTAGTCGGCATTAATCTTGAGGACTAAGAAAAAGTGCTGGCGAAGTGGCCTCCCAAGACGACGCCGAAGAGGACAGAGTAGTTGGCAATGGGCTGGTTCGGAGTCCTGACTCCAAACCTGAAACCCTAAACCCTGGCATCTGGGCTCAGCTGAAAGCCTGAACACCAAAGCGTTTAGTTAGGGGTTCAGGGCTTCTCGAAGCCTAAGCTGATTAGGGTTTAGTAGTACTCAAGGAAACCATAAACCATGAGTGCTACAACTTCCTCTGAACTTCATCGGCGATTTGCCCACAGAATGCGGCATAAACCCCAAACTCTAGATGTTGAACCCAGAGCCCTAAATCCTGCACTGCAAAGCGACTTTTGCCGAGAGTTGGTCTGGTCGACATGGCCGACGTTCGGACTTCTCATACCTATAGTAGACTTTCGAGTCGCACCCATATACACACATACACAGCCCTAAGCCAAAACTGAATGAATGCCTCACATAAAAGCCTGCGGCCGATTAAAGTCAGCTGCATCGGTGCAGAACATGTTGGGGACTCTCCGGAGGCCTAAACCCTAAGACGCAAAGATCCTAAACACACTACGTATGTGCACCCTCAACAAGCCCTGCTTAAACACCCTCCAGTCCACCCAAAATCAGCCTACCGAAAACCAAAACGCTAAATCGGTCCTCGGGGGTCCACAGAGGCTGGAGGACAGCGTAGCCTCCGCTGTGGACGGAGGCTTCGGGGTCCAGGAGGTCTTTCTAGTTTGCAAGTTTTGGTGTTCATTGTGAGATTCAGGGTTTACGGATTTAGGTGCCCAATGCCCGACGTTCCCAACTCAGGGATTTGGAGGTGCAAGGTCCAAGGCTGAGACGAGGGTTCAGGGGTTTTAGGGAGTTGAGGTTTTCCGGCTGAGCGTGGAGATTTAGGATCTCAAAACCTCTCGGCGTTTTTACGGTGAATTTGAGGGCCCTGTTATGGTGCTATACAGGGACTCATGCCCGTAGACGGCAACAAAAGCATTCTCGGGTGTCGGGAGACTGTGGGTTTGAGAGCTTAGCTTCCTGCACCTTAGATTGTCAGGCTTGCGTCGCAAGGCAAAGCCGGAATTCATACCAATTTGAACTCCTAATTTACCCCAAAGCGCGAAGCCCGAAAAATCCTTAACCCCTAAATCTCCTAACCTTTGAGGATCCTGTAGCCGAGCAGCCCTTTTCAAGGAAGGCGTTGGCATCAAATCCTATTCCTCAGCTGCTTTGCAGGGCTTCCTGGGGGGCCGAGGGTTTGCTTTGCAGCTCGCGCTCCGGGGCTCAGGGGCTCAGGGTTTCGGGGTCCAGGGACTGTAAGGGTGTACTTGATGAGGTCTTGTACGCTTTCACGAGATGGAGGTTGCAGCACCTTATTTATGAGGAGCCTGTCTTCACTAGATTAGTTGTACGTAGGACTGCAAACTGCCAGAGGGTCCTCCCCGCATGCAAGGCGGAACAAGTCTTGCACACCTGACCCTAAACGCTAAGCCTTGGAATATACAAAGCCCTGAACCCCAAACGCAAAAACCTAAACCTTAAACCTTCGGCTCCCTAAACAAGGCTCTTCGCGCCTCCTTCTCCAACTTATCCAGGCTGCATCGTGCATCGAAACTCCTTGTGACGGGACATATACACGACAACACCAAAATCTATACCCTAAGCGCTAAACAGGCCATAAACTGACCGTTACATTTAGGGTTTGGGGGTTTACGGTTTGCGGAAGGCTGCTCAAAAGACATCCCCTCCACACAAATGTGACAGGAGCACGACAGTGGCGAGCCGAGCGAGAGCGGGCAGTGCTTTGCTTCTTCCTCCTGCCACAGTGAGCCCCCTCAGAACAGAAAATTCAACTGATCGTGAACTACATCCTTTGCACTGAATGCAAAAACTCAGAAGGAATCTGAACCCTGAAGCCTAAAAGCCATGATAGTCCCAACCCTAACTATCCAGAATCTGACGTGTGATTACACCCCCCCCCCACCCCTCAAGGTTTTGGTTACCCAGATTTAGGTGACCCCTCAAGGTTCAGGCCCAGACCCCTCAAATCTTACTGGGCTGGGATTCCAGGTTTCAGGGAAGCTTCAGGCCTTGTGGCGCGGATCCTCGCAGGCCTGGGGCAGACATTCTCTTGTTGGGCTATTGCTGGGAGCTTCGGGCAAGGCTGCCTGGGTGATCGGGTGTGGGCTTACTCAGGGGCCGGGCAGCTGCTGCTAGGCTAAATACCCAAGGACCCAAGGCTACCTGCGCCCCCTTTGAAAGCTTGGTTGGTTGTGTATACGGGGCTGCGTGGATTCTAGGAAGCTTTAGCGGCATGTGGCATTCAGGTCTGGATGTGTTGAAAAAGTTGCATGTGTTGAGAAAGTTGAATTGCTGACCGAAGCGTAAGTTGACGGGGGAAGGGTTTCGCAGCCCAGCCTGCTTAATTGGGGGGTTTTGTATTCATTGCGGCTACACCTACATGCCTAGTGGTGGGTGGGTGGGTGGGGGGGCCTTATTAATCTCGGGTTGACATTAAACCCTGAACCCTGAACCTCAACCCTACAGTAGCAGTTGGAGGGCTACGGGTCTCATAGACGGGCTCGAATCTCGAAAGCCCAACTTGCTTATTTTGAGGTGGCACCTTGTTCTGCTAAATTCAGCAGCCATGGCTGGGGATGTACCAACCTACAGTCCGAAGGTACTCCTAAGCCCGAAATCCCGAAATCAAAAAAATAAAGGCCCGGCAGTAAACCCCAAAACTCAAACACTCTACATTTCTAAACTCAAGTCTGTTTGGCACATGCATGTAACGCCAATCTGTACCATTTGAATACAAACTTTAACATCTGTAACATAATGCAAGCGGAGCTTGATGCGCCTGGTGAGACTCTAATCCAACACCAAAAGCGGGGTGAGTCCTGTGGACCACAATTCTGCTCGAAACGCCAACGCTACAGGTTTGGCAGTGTTTTCAAACGACAGTGAACCAAGATGAAGAGACAGCGGACCAAGGTTGGTTGCTCCGACACAACCACGGCCATGAAACTTGTCTGACAGAAAAGTCCAGTTTCTTGGTCACAGGGAGCCCTCAGCGAACATTTCAAAACTTCATGCTGTTGACGAACTTGAGATGTGGTTTGGTCTATTAATCAAAGCATATACTGTAGATATCCGTTTCACGCTCTCCATTCAGACTGGGATCAAATGCCTCTTTAATGCAGTAATGTTAAGGTCAAAATGTTGAAAAGGTCCGAAGCCAGCAGAGGCCTGAAGAGGCACGGAAGAAGGCAACAGAGGCCCCTAAGAGGCCCAGCAGAAGCCAGAAGAGGCTTGGAAGAGTCTCCCCACCCACCGGCTCATTCATGCGCCAGAACATATCCTGCGGCAAAAGATCCCTGCATTTGTTCTTTTGCAAGAATGCTTTACGAGCCACAAACCCTTAATCCCTTTAAAGGTCCATTTAGGCCCCAAACCGCCTAAACCCTTCTTGGGTTCATCAGGCCTCCAGGGCCTGCCAACAAGCTCGGTCGAGCGCTGCATTAAGGGTATGGGGTAGTTCAGTCTAGGTGCTCACCTTTCGAGCACAGAATTGTGAGGATTCATCCCAGCTATGGGGCCTTTTTTGGATGTCTTTATCCCCTATTACAAACCGCCGAGCCTCAAGCTCCAACCCCAAACTCTATAAACTCCAAACGTTACAGTGTCGCTGCCTCCGCCACCTCTTCGGCCGGCCCGCTCTCCTGAAGCTTGCGCTTGCCGGCAGCTGGCCGCTTCATGGCAAGGGCGCCAAGATTCAGGGTTGTTATGTTTTTCGGGGAGGTGCTGATTCAGGCGGGACTTTGAGTGCAAGACAAGCCACAGGACTTGGGTTTATCTGGGTAGTTCCCGAGACTCAGAGCCCCCTTAGGGGGAGGGGGGGTCGTCATATCACGGCGGGACCGATTGACAGCAAGGACACCCAGAAGCGACTCCGATTCATGGAGCTACCCAGCTTCTTGCTGTTCGTTGGCTTCGAGTGTGCTTGTGCGGGTTTGCTGCTCTTCCGCCTGTCGGTCTTTAATCTGTTTGAACATTTGCCTGCGCTGCGCTTGATTCAGCTGCAGTGTGGCAAGTCGAGGCTCAATGCCTTCGGACAACAAGCTGTCAGAGCTCGCACAAGGGGTGAGATGAAGGGGTTTAGGGTTTCGGGTAGAGAGAGAGAGAGAGAGGGAGAGAGTGCGTGGGGGAGGGACAAGACGCGGCACAAGGACAGGTGCAGACAGACAGACAGAGAGCGGGACAGAGAGAGATAGAGAGACACAGCTGGAGAGCCAGAGGGCCATGAGAGGGAGGGAAGGAGCGAGAAGCAAGCAGCAGTCTTGAAGTTTTGAGCAAGTGAGTCTGTGCGCTGGGATAAGATGCGCCTGTCCGAAAATTAAGAGCTGCAGCGAGGAGCCTCACCTAGGCAACACCTGCTTCTGATGATTGGGGTTTGGCGACTTTAGCCTTTAGGCCCTGAACCCTAAAGCGCAAACTTCAAGTACTTGGTAGACAGTTTGCAACAGCCTGGGAAGAGAGAGTGCAGGAACATTGGCGGTCAGAGGGCACATGCAACCGGCGACGTTGCGTCAATCTCGCCTCCTCACTTAAACAGCCGCATGGTAGTTCAGGGCAGGCTGCGGTTTAGGGATTAGGGTTCGGGTCTGGGTTTAGGGTTTCGAGTTTAGGAGTCTTGTGGGCTTTCAAAACTACGGTCTCAGGACTTTTAGAGTTAATAGGGTTTAGGGGTTTGGGAGGTTTGGGGCCCTAGGAGGTCGTCGAAGGCCGGGAGTTAACCTTGGGCCCGCGGCTTGTGGAGTTGGGGTTTGCGGTTTCCCCACCGACACAAGAGGCGGGCGTAAGGAGCAAACGTATGCGAAGGAGATCGTTGCGATGTGCTGCATGTCAAGGTCCGGCCTCAACTCTGCAAAGAAACGCTGTCCCAGCGCGGGCAACACCCTCACCTCCTACATAGACCCGAATTCTCGTGCCCTGACCGGGAGACCATGATATTACGAAACCAGGCTCAGCCAAGCGCAGTCGGAAACGATCAGCCGCTTTGCTCAATAAGGACGATTTCGCAAATCCAGCCCCTAAACTGGACCCTATGGCCCTCACATGGCGACAGCCATTTGGGGCGGGAGAACCCTAAGCCTGGCCAAAGCCCCGTTGCTCGTGGAAACTATCTGGGCAGTTCTCTAAAAATGGACTCGCTTGAGGCTCCTGCTATTACGCGGGCTTTGCCTGAAAAGAGACGTATACATATATTGTGTCTATGTGTAGGATGGCCCTTACGTACATGCTGACACATCTTCGGATGTTCGGCTTAAGTCTGAAGGGCTTTGTTCATGACCGAGGCGCAGCCGCTGCTGAGCATACTTGCCCATTTTCGACATGAGCTCCTGTGCCGGACGCCTGGCAGATTCAGAACTACACGCTAAACAGTAGACCCATGAGGCCAAACCCTAAACCGCAACTCCAGACCCCCCAAAGCGCGGAGGTAGTTCGGCGCCTCAGGATTGGGACGACCTCGCCCCCCCCCCCCCCCCCCCCCCCCCCCGAAAGGATGGTCATTCGTATTGGCATTCAATTGCTGTCTGTCTTCGGATTCAACCAATACCAGCACCTTAGGGTTTAGGTTTGGGGCCTCTGCTTGGAGAAACCGTTGAGGACTTAGGGGATTAGGAGATCAGGGTTTTTGGGGTTTGGGGTTTCGAAGGGTTTCCGGTTTAGCGTTTAGGATTGTAAAACCCGACAATGCAAAGCTAGGATGGAGGGAGCTTATGCCCCCCCCCCCTCCGTTTGTTTGGGGAAGCAGCTATAGGTTTTAGGATACTGTGGTTCATGTTATAGGGTGTAGGACTGAGAGGCACTTGCCAGGGCACCCGCCCGGGACATCCAGCTTTGCAAAAGCATTGGAGAGGTGCGCCAAGTCCTGGCACATGTGGGAGGTTGCGGTGTAGTGAGCCTGTACTCTTGACATGCATCTCGTAGTCCGAAAAATTCTACGGACCTTTTCGGGATGCTCAAAGCTTGGTAGCGAAGCTAAATCTAGCCAATATATGTATATGTATATGTATTGTATATATATATATAGATAATATGTATACATACATCTATAATATATATGATATGATATGATATGATATGATATGATATGATATGATATGATATGATATGATATGATATTCTATTCTATTCTATTCTATTCTATTCTATTCTATTCTATTATATATATATACATATCCCGAAGCCCTTGTATAAGCTTAAATGGCCCTAAGCCCTAAGCCTGTATAGACATCCATAATCATCCATACATACCATATAAGGCCCCGGGGGGACCTCTGAGGATTGTTTCAAACCCCGCGCCTGGGACTGAAGCTCCTCAAGGCTCTGCAGGGCCAGAGAGGCCAGAGCTTCAAAAAGGCTTTCGCATGCCTTCCAGTCTTCTTGGGGTGTAGCAGACTGAGGAGGCTTAAGTCTGCTTAAGGGCGTATGGGTTTTTAGGGTGGTTTGGCAGGGCTTCGGGTTTCGGGGGCAGTTCAGGAATTGTCTAGGTGGAAGGTTCTAGCACAAGTTGGAGTCCAGGATCTTTCAAGATGAACAAGCCTGAATCGTCAGGAGAGAAACGGTCTCGCGACATTGAAAACGGCAGCGCGGTGGCCCAGGAATGCAGAACGCGTATAGCAGGATATATGGACCTTGGAGCATATCTTCGTATTGCGTACCTTCTGTTTCTGAGGGTTCCCTGTTTAACGTTCGCACAATACTTCCTGCAATTGAAGTTGAAACGCAAGCCGTGAATTTTCCAACGCGCTCTCTCCTTGAGGGTGCATTTATAGAGTGATCATGGAGTCACGTAGAGGAAGCTAATCTAGATTGAATACGTTGGAGAGGGACATTAAGTGTTTAATGAGTGGTGTTGGACGGTCGTGGCAATCAGCAATTCAGCCGGGTTAGGGGTCCTGGTCCAAAAGACACTTTTCATCAGCAGACAAAGCTTCGGGCCCCAGCTTCCTAAGAGCATTGAAGAGAACTTTTTCTTCAGAGCTGGCCAAAAAACAGCTCCAGAGGCTTCGGTCTGTAAAACTTTACACAGCCATATCTCGTAATTAGCTTCCGGCTTTAGAGGCTTGCGTCAGCAGAGCTCCAAGAAATTCCGACATACTGTTCCAGCCTGGCTTTTAGAGAAGCAAAAAAGTCGGTAAATTACTTTATGCCAAATGCTCAGCATTGAGGGTTTGGATTTTTAGCTGCCAAAGATCCGGAACCAACGGCTGCGCTATAATTAACTTAAGTATATATATATATACGGTTTTGGGGCACTATTATTCGGTTTGGGGTACCTGGGTTCCATAACGATACTGTCACTGCTTAGCACCCGCAATGCGCGAGCTGAGCGTCTCGGCCCGGCAAGCACACACCTGAGGGGTCGCCAAGCCAAAGGCCCCCGGAGGCCCCTCCGTGCGAAGACGTCCCCGCAAGCTTGAAATGTCTTCCACAAGTCTTCTAGCAACAGGGCCTTCGCCACGCAGCCTTGACGGTCCGGAGTCGACAGGCAAAGCAGTGAGAAGACCTTCCCCTCTGCAAAGCCTCAATTTCCTGCAAGCTTCTGATGTCCTTCACAGGCATCTTTGTCGCAACAGTGCATCTTTATAGTCAAGCTACGAGGAGGCATTAAAGTTACAGGCCCAGGCGTGTGAAATCGGTATGGCTGTTTGTGTTCGGCTGGTTCCGGCCTTTTGAACTCTGATGGGCATGTCTGCATACTAAGGCGTTCAGCTGACCTATGCTACACACTAAACCCGAAACTTCCTAAACCGACTGGCCTCACGTGGTACGCCACTTCGCGAATAGGCGTTGGCTACGATCGCGAGCTCCTGCAGATTTCGGGGCCTAAGGGCCCCAGGGTAGAACGTTTAGGGTTTGGGGTTTAGCATTTTGGACCTAGATATAGAGCATACTTTCCGGTCCCTAGGCCACACGCAAGTCTGAACTAATTAGAATGTGTTTGTTGATAAGGATTACGAAGGGGAAAAACAGGTGTGACTTCTTGAATTTCTTAGGCTCCCGTATCATGCCCTCAACCTCGTTGAACCCTTGACTGCTAGATCTGCATGATTCCTCCACCTATACAGAGCCAATCGCACGTCTAAATCCCGCTACTCTAATCTAGGGGTGTAGCGAAGAATGGTTGTTTGGATCGATCGTATTTAACACCAGGGGGATCCGAGTATATCGGGGTCTCATATTGGTGCCAGCCCTACACGTCTACCCCCCAAGCTTCTGTGCTTCAAGTCCGAGATTATCAGTTGGGCTTGTCTCAGCACTTAGGGTTCTGAGGCGAATGGGTTTGAGACTATAGACTTATCGGAAAATGGCCTTCGTTGATACCCGTGGCAGGCGCGCTAGAGTCATGAGTTTAGGAAAAAGGGTTCCAAGGCTGCATGCGTAACCCCACATCAAGACCCTACCGCCCAATTCCCTGAAACTGCCTAAGCCCTCCTGCTTAAGGTTTATGGTCGCGGCCCCAGTCCTTGGGATAGAGCTCACCTCAACCCATGTTTTGACGGGGTAAGCGTGCTGGGTATCGGTAGAACTCCAAGCCCTGTAGATGAGGTAAAACCCTCTAAAGATAGGGCAGTACCAAGTCCTGTATCCCTGAAGCTGGGCGTTCTGTGCCCTTTGCAAGGGGTGCAGTTATAAACCCCAGACGCTTCTCCCAAATTAGAGCTGGAGGGTCCTAAAATGGATGGGGGAGCGGGCTGGGCACAGTGCGTGGTCTTCGGTCTTTTTTTGGTGGCCTCAAATCGGTTTAGGACTTAGGGCTCTGAGGTGTATGAGCGAGAGTTTTCAGAGCTGTATGGATTGAGTGAAGAGTTGAGCGGCTGTTTGGCGTTCAAGTGCAAGGAAGTGGCAAACCTACAGTCTAGGGAAATCGGTTTTGGGACCATGGTGTTTGGATGCCACACCTCCAACCCTGCCGTAAACAACTGACCCAAAACGCGGAGTCCCCGCAGCCCTTGTCGAACTCAGGAATGGGCACCATCCCATTCTAAGTAAGACTGATGACCTGGTAGATGCCAAAGACTCTATGCATCCGTATCCCCCCAGCCTGAAACTTCAAGACTCCTAACTCAGATCCCCCCACCAAAGCTTCCCGAAATATCCGAAGTCCTGAGCACTAAACCCTACAGGACATGGTAGCAGGGGAGCCTGGAACAAACCCTGAACACTGCCCCAAGGTGTTTCATAGATGGTCTTCATCAGTGTGTTATGAGTAGTGTTACTATAGCCTGCAACCCTTCTTCAAAATCCCCTGAACCTACATCAACAACTAAACCCCTTTAAACCCGACCCCAAAAATCTTCCAGGACCCCTGCCGAGCCAGCTTTGCAGGACTTTGGCAAAGTGGCTCAGGACGCCGTCCGGCCCTGGGTTTAGGGTTTGGAAAAGCGCGGCTCAAACGTTAGGGCTGTTTAAGGGCTCAGGGACTCAGGGACTCAGGGGCTTGTGGTTTTCGGTGGCTTAAGGCTTTAGGCTTCGGTTTGGGGTTTTAGGGCTGGTAAACAGTTTCGGTGATAGCCCGCAGTTTTGAGACTGTTGCAGGCTTCTGACCGCATTGCATGGCAGTCCAGGCCTGTTATGGGGGGGTTTGGCTTGGGATTCCGAAGCCCCGAGCCCCAAACCCCGGACCAATCAGGCCCACACCGGATCCCAGGCGGAGCTTTGCCAGCCCGTTCCTTAGAGCAAGGGTTCTCAGTGCCCTAAACACCTCAAGCCTTTAGAGTCTCGGCCTAGGCCTGCGGGCGTGACGGAGTTGGCGCCCTGCGCTACTGAAGCCCTCGCAAACGAACTGCCCAAAAAACTCCACCTGTGCTGAAACCTTGAGATTGGGGTTTGGGGTTTTAAGGCTCAAGGTCTCGAGACTATACGCGTGTGTCTGAACCCGTCACCGCCTTGGTTAGCACATTCCAGCAGGCGCTAAACCCTACTCCCCTCAAGGTTTCTTTCTGGCCCAAAGTCCAGTTTTGGAACTTGTTTAGGTGTTCTTGCCCCAAACTAACCCTTAACACATACATACAAATACACACCCTCACTGACCACCAACATGTAACGGGCTTTTCCTCAACCACCAGCCCTAGAGCCCGGGACATTGCGTGCTATAGCCACAAAATCCAAACCGAGCCCTCCCAAAACCCTTCCGTGACAACTCACTATGTGCCTGGCACAAGCTGGACAGAGCTGGAGCCCTGGCGCAAGACAGGGGTCTCTTACTTTAACGCACCACGAAAAACACGACCCAAAAGAAAGCAAAACAAATAGGGTTGGGTGACGACGTGAACCCGAAAGGGTCAATGGTCCACTTGCTTTGTGCGAGATTGGTTTGGCGTGTGATTCCAATTTTAGGGTGCAAAGATCTTTTTCGTTCCCAGGGCCCCTGCGGCATAATTGTCTCGCATCGTGGTATGGAGCTTGTCCAGGAGTTTGGTGTTTAGGTGTTGCTTCTCATAAGTTGCAGGTGGGTAAGCTGATAGGCTGCAGGGCAGGCCTGGATTCCCTGAAACCCTAGCTGGCCATATAGGAATCTTCGATGCTGAGCCGCTGGGCCCGAAAGCCACAGGACCTTGAACTTGGCCCTAAATCCCGATTCCCTGTAAATGCCGCGTCAAGCCTCAAACTCGTCGCTTTTCTCAAGCGCGGCCTGTTTCCAGGACAGGTTCGGTGTATGTGTGTTACCTGACATGGGCATCTATAGAGTGACCCTCAAGTGACTTGTCTAGGACCTACACCTTTGGAACACAAGGAGTTGTCGCTGGTCTTCGTGGCTTTGCCTAGACCCTCAGGTCCTCTTTGCACCCTCGAACACTCAAGAAATACACCACTTGACGCACTCATCAGGTCAGCGAGCGTCAACACCGTCTACTCTCCTCCTGGCGAGCTAAACTAAGTGACAGCACGTGCTCAGTAAGCAAGTCAGACCAAGACGACAGCAGAAAGCTCCAAAATCCTAGATACTAAACTTCTAACCTTCAGACCAGGGCTGCGGGCTTTCTACAAAAGTCTACCTTCTCACATACCGACTTAATACCAGTTCTAAGCATACGATGGGGAAGAGGGGAGGGCTGAACCCAAAAAACAAACCCCTTTAGACACACAAAAGCTCCACAGCTAGGATCACATAGCCAATGCTGCTCCATCCCTGCCCCAAACATATGGACCACCTTCAGGACGGGTTCATTGGGTCACACCAAATGGTTCGTAGTAGGGGATGTGAGGATTCGGTTCCCAAAGCAATAGGGTACCCTGCACCCTAAGCTCTGAAACCGCAGCTCCTTTTTCTCCGAAGGCCTCCGCCAGCGCCTGGAAGACCGGATGAGTCGAGGCTACAGACTGGGAGTTCGCCAGACCTGAGTTTGCAGGGAGTGTAAAGGGTTTCAGGGTTTAGGGATTCCAAAATTGTTGGCTTTTGGAAGGGAGTTGGAGTTGGGCATCGGCCGTTTCAGGCTTTGGGGATCTGGGAGTGTGGAAAGGTAGGGATCTAGGGATCAAAGTCTGTCAGCTCCAGGCTGGCAAAACATCCGAAGATCAGAGGTTAGGGTTGACGTTTGAACCCTAAACCCTCAGCCCTTTGTAACGGCTCATTTAGTCGACCAAGTTGTCTGATGAGGAATGAAGTCTTGCAAAAAGGAATGGTGATCAGCGACTTTGTCGACTTCCGGCTTGGGGTCTGTAGAAGTTCAACACACGCTTAACATTTCGGAGCTACACGGCGCAGGTTTAGGTGATCAAGCCCTAAAGCTTGAAGCTTGAACTAGTCCCGGGAAGGTATCAGGAAAGGCATGTTGGCTCGACTTTGCACCCTGCACCCAAGTGCTCAATACCAACAGCCTGGGTAAAGCATCCTCCCTGTATCAGCAGCGGCAGCGGAGCACCACACCCTGAGCCGTAAAACCTGGTCGTTTAACAACTGAAGCCTGTAAATATGAAGGGCAGTCATAGGTGGGCAGTTGCTGGTTGTATAAGCCTCTGATGAACAGGGTAGCGCACTCATCTTTTGAGACTCTTGTACCAAACCCAGACTACCCCGCCTGAAGCCGTCCTAAGGCTCCGGCCTGAGATGGCGCGTGCAATATCCTTGCCGAAACTCCCGCTCAAGGATCCCAGCTTCTGATGTTCTAGCCCACATCCCGAGGAGTCTGGGTTCGCTGTGCGTGTCTTTTGGTCGAGGATTGATCGAAACGTGCGTACAATAAAATTCTCTGAAAACCCACTAGCAAGCAACTTGGAATTATCGGAAAGGCCAAGTTCAAGTTCAAGGTCTTTACCAAAGTTTGGACTGCATAGGAAAAGCCTTGGACTGCTCAAGCTCCTGACATGCGGGCTAATGACTAGTGAATAAGAATGACATTGGGTAAAGGACAGTAACTTGAGTTCGACCTGTCAAATTTGCATGCGCTTTGGCTTCTGGCATGTTTTGAAGCTAAGTTCAAGCTCTCACAAAATTTTGGGTGCACAGGAACGACCGTGGACTCGCGGCATCGTTCGAATTTAGGTTACATTCGCTTGCTGCTTGGACGAATAGGAACGACCTTGTGCAAATTTGAGACGATTCTAAGCACCACCACCACCACCACCACCACCACCACCACCACCACCACCACGACCACGACGACCACGACCACGACCACGACCACCACGACCACGACCACGACCACGACCACCACGAGACGACGACGACGACAACGACGACGACGACGACAACGACGACGACGACGACGACGACGACAGTCCGAAGCGCTTGTTGCCCGCGCCCCCTCTGAAAAGGTGCGCAGGGCCACGGTTGCCATGACAAACCCGACAGCCGTTTCCCCCGTTTCGGGACTGCTCAAACAAGCTTGTTTTAAGAAAACGTGCGCAGGGCCAGGGCATCCGACACCCACGCGGCTGGAGGACCCTTAACCCTATAAACCCTAAACACCTTGAACCCTCAAACCCTAAACCCTCAACGTGGGGCCCCTGTACTCATTCCAATGGGGTTGGTAACAAGAATATTGCACGGGTGGCCGCACCATAAGCCCTAAACTCGCCCGCCATCCTTCTCACCTGTCTGCCGCAGAGCTTGCTTCCGCACGCCTGAGCAACCGCCCAGCTTGGCAAGCTCCCACACTTTTCTCACTTCGCGGACTGGAGGCCCGTAAGCGGTGGATTGTTTGCCTGGGTACGTCCGAACGCCGTGAACGCAAAAATCAAAAGGTCAGGCCGCGCAAACGTCCGCCTTTGCAACTGGGGCCTTTCCGCTCGCTTCGAGAAGTTTCCAAGAAGCCTCAGGCTTCTTGAAGCAGAAGCCAGACCCATACGACAATTTCAGCCAATTGTTGTGCCGCACCCTTGTGCTGTGAGCAGTGTTTGCGCGGTCTCGGGGTGGGGCTCTCTGTCTGCAGCTGACCACATGCTGCGGCCTAAACCTTAAACACTGTAGCTGCTCTAGATACACTTATTAGCTCCTGTGGCCGCAGTTGGCGGGCATCTTTGGTCAGCTGTGTGGCGATCGCGGCAAATAAGCCGATCTTCAGAGTGATCCTTAGTTAGGGGTTCAAGGCTTGTAGGTTTGGCCGAACTTGAGATTGATCCTTGCAGGGATTTGGGGGTACAGTTCTGCTTGAAGTGTATCAGGGCTTCAAGTATCCCCCAATAAGGTTATCACTTATCGCTGCAGCTGCCCCACTTCTATCCCCGTTAAAGCTACCCATGAGGCGAAGCCCCAAGTGGCATGCAGGCATTCTATAGTGCTGGGAAGCCCGAAGCCCCAAATCCCTCATGTTTTTTCATGGGCTTTAGAGTTTGGGGCCTAAGGCTCCCAAAATCAGACCTGAAACCCCTGTAGAACCCGAGGCCTCACCCCTAAAGCCGACCTGAAAAACGGGCCAGAGTTCCTGGGAAACTGAGGCCGCTGCACTTCCTTCCACCCATCCCTGGCCTGAGTTGCAAGCTCCTGGTTTAACTTTAGCTTTGAACCCGAACCCTCCACCATAAAACTTATAATCATGGAAGTTCAGGTAACTAAGCGTTTAGGGTTTGGGAGTTTGAGACGGCTTGGGTCGAGGTAGGTGTCATACGCTTGAGGGATGGAGCCTGCGGCAAAGAGGTATTAAGGCTTCATGGTAGAGAGGTAGTTTTCGGAAGGCCTTAGTGAATAGATCCGAGGCCCTAAACTGCTAAGCCTCTGAATTGTTGAAGACTCGGCATGTTGACTTAGCTTCCTTCCCTGCAAGCGCCGCCATTTGAAAGTGTTCTCATTGTTCTCATGTCCCAGGTTCCCGTGTACCCTGGGGACGAAAGGTAATTGGGGTTTATAGGGTTGAAGGGCTTACGGGTCGAGGAGATGATGCATACGTGGGTTTAACGTTTTGAAACCTTGAAGCTAGAAACTAGAAACGGCAAGATGTTTTCGGCCAGCTTTCGGCAGCAGAAAGTCAGTGCCTCGCCTGCAAGGAACGACGACTTTCAGACAACTCCTTAGAGTTCTCGTCAGACCAAGACGCACTGCCCAGTCACATCAGGGTTTAGAAAGCTCTTCAGGCGCTTCATCCAGCCCACGGTAGTGTGTTCACCACGTTTAAAACCAAAGAACCGTGGAATCTTCGACACTGCCGAATTCCAATTTGGCCTCCTGCGCGTCAAGAAGACTTCCCATGAATAGCTCGCAGTCGGGCTTTCATTCTCATGCCAACGCTCCACTGGCCAAAAGTTTCCCGGAACAAAGGCCCAACCACAGCTTCACATCTGTCCCGGAGGCTTTGGTTTGAAGCCAACATTACCATTGCCTTGGCGGCTTGCTCCTTTACTGCTTCTTGAAACCGCTGAACAACTTACTGGTACCATTGTTTAAAGAGAAACAGCTAAACTCACTTGCGGTCCAGGCGCAATATCTGGATCTGCCCAGCGCTGGTCCGATCTGTAGATGTGCTTGAACGGCTCTGACACGTTGACCCCCACCTTGTTCCAAAAGGGTCCATGTACTTTCATGGGGGTTGGAGGAGCATGAGGTTCATTCCGGGTACATGATCCCAATATTGGAGTTTCATCCCCGAGGCACATAGCTGGAATCAAGACTGAAACTCCTCTGGCAGCTTGGACATGAAGTCCATGTTTCCACTGCTGTGGCGATGGCTTGCCCAGCATTAGCATTTCCAGCCTTTTGAAACTCGGGTTTAGGGCTTGTGGGCTTTGGCTATCCTACACCCCAAATGCCTCCCTTAACTCTAACCCCTAGACCTGGAAAGGTGGAAGCAGCTCTAGAAGTTGCGCCCAGGTGGCAATGGGAGGCCAAAGCCTTCTGAACGATGCATTGAAACCAATACATCCACTGAGGCCATGAGCGAATGCATCTTCTGTCCATACCTGACTTTCAAGGTTTACGGCTATACTCTGAACCCTAAACCGCTAAGTCCCAAAAAAGCTTTCCATGGTGGGCGGCGCCTCGTCATAGAAGCGCAAGTGCTTTATCCATTCTTCTGGAAACGTGTCCAGCTCCCATGCCCAATATCCGATGTTGTAGTGCATCTTCCGAAGGCGATCAGGATAAAACCTAGGTTCTGGGTGGCCCCTTAGGGGTGTTGGGCCTGGGCCCTTGGTCTGGTTTCAGGAGGTTTTCTGATTCCGGCGAGACCGCCTCAAGATCATTTCAAGAGCACTCCAAGACTGCTCCGAGATGACCCCCGAACCACGCGCCAAAACCAGTCCAAGACCACTCTAAGAGGATAACCGAAGGGATTCAAAGGCGACAACAGGTTAGCATCTCATGGCACCCACACAGGACCAAGGCTACAGGAGCTGGAACACTAGCGCGTTCATGCCACGTGGTCGTGAGGGGAGGACCTATCAGTTTCCTTTACTCTGACCAAAGGAACAGTGCAAGCACTGTCTTGGGAATGTTGAAAAGGGATCGTAACCCCACAACAAGGAAATCGGGCTACTTCCAGGCATCCTCGAAACGCCGTAGTACCGGTGTCATGTCTGCGTTTGTGACAAACAGATTCGTCCGATGCCGCGGAGTGCGGGAGGCATTCAACCGAAGAAGGCTCGATCTGTGCTGCTTGTCGGTGGAGGGAAGGAGAATGCGGTGGGTCTGCACCTGCTCACACGAGAAAGCCTGGGGGGGGCTGAAGACTTTTGTGACTATGCTATACTCCTACTCGAACCTTACAAAAAAGTAATATTCTGCATATCCTCTGGGGTGTATATAAGGAAAAATAAACAAAATGGTTCCCAAGGGGGATGTAGTATAGTCTATGATTATTTTATACAGGCTCTGCATGGCTCTCTGCACGGCTCTCTGCACCTTGACTTCCTTCAAGGCCCCATGTAGCAACCGGGCAGATTGGGCCACCCCGAAGACTCCTAAGAAGTAGCCGTAGATGTTGACGCCTTTGGAGAAGTTCGGCATAGGCCGGTGCTGTTCTCTCTCAAAATGTTGTGTCAGGAGACTCTCGAGGTCAAGCTCAGTGGCTAAATTTTGCTGAGCCCAGTTGAACAACTTCTCTGCACTCTTCCCGAAGGGATCCGGAAAGGCTGCCCGCAAATCCTGCGCCGTTCTGACGCTCATGGTTGCAGTTGTATACAGCGTTTTCTTTGCACTCGTACCAACTTAATATCTACAAGCTCCTATAGCCAAGCAAGAGTCAGGTCTGTGGAGATAAACTTGCCACACCAGCTCGCATATCAGGTATTGGCCCGACTGCTCCACAAGCAAGTGGTGTGCACCTTGCAGCATCCAGTCCAGCAAGCTGAATTTGCCACTGTCCGCATGGACGGCGAATGGACTTTCGTGTGCGACCAGTTCCTTAAACAGATTCTTGTCATTGCGAAAAGGCTCCTCCGAATCCATCATGTCAGCATAGTATTGACGGATCACCATCGGAATAGAAGTCCCATCATCGAAGTACTCGAAGTTGTAGGACACATTTCGCCATCGCCAGGCATCCTCTTTCTGCAACATTGCTTGGTAGCTAGTCACGATCTCCCGGAGCTCTGGGAAGTCAACCATCTTGAAGCGATTTTGGTGCGGTGAAATGGACTCCTAAAACGACAAGCAAACTAGGACGTCAAAGGGCGGACAGGGTGAGCGTAGTTTCGGAAGGGAACCCAACTCCTAAAAGCATCACTAAACTGAAAATTGGGGTACCACACTGCATCCTAGTGTCCAGATTGTACTTGTGCAGGTCTGACATGCCTGAGAAATGCATGAATACAACTGGCTCCGAGTCATACAGCACAACGCCATTCTCCATGTGTAGATGAATGCCTCTGTAATGAAGGTTCCAATACGCGACATTGTACCGCGGGTCTCTCAGTACCAGGTACTCCGTTTGGGGTAAGTAAGACACCATCAGCTGCCCCAATTTTGATCGAAGTGCATGCCCTTGCGCGGCTCTGCATACCCATAATAGCGCAGACGGTTCAACCACCAGTCGAGAAACTCTAGGGTCAGCTCACTCTTCGATGCAGCAATAAATCCGAAGTTAAATTGCCCAGCAAGCATGAGAGTTCGTTCGTCTTGGTGGAGACCATCCAGGGGCACCTCCTGTGTTACGTGCGGAGTGACGACTAGTCGGTACTGGTCAAGCGCCTCAATGATGGTTGTAAGGGGCTGCAGGATCCAAATGTCATTGTCAAAATACAATACCTTCCGACAGTTGTGCTTATCAAAGGCGTATTTGAAAGCAGCAGGCTTTATGGCAGTGTTAAAGCACTGCATATTGTAGCGAAAGGCAAGTTCCATGTAGCTGAAGGACATGTATGGTTGGAGGCGATCAGCAGTAACAGCGTGCCACCTGTTGGGGACTTGTCTAAGGATCTGCATAGGCAGCTCTTTGTCTGCATCTTTTGCCCGAACAAGTGTGTCGTCCGCCACGACCCAAATGAAAACCATTTCAGGGTGCAGCGCCTCGGCCTGCTTCAGCAACACCCGGACAAAGCCATAGTTATTAAATGATGAAATTGTAATCAAGCACGTCCGGCTCGACTGCGAAGCTGCTGTACTGATTAAAGGATCTGACAGGAGCCGAAAGCCAACCCAGCACGTGAGCAGGAGCATGCAGCCCAACAAAACGTTCTTGCTGCCCATCATGGCCAGGAATGGGTTTAGGGGGGTAGGGCTAGAGGGGAGGGGGTGGAAGGTCTAGGGGGGTGGGGGGAGGGCTAGAGCCGGGTCCTAGAGGTTGGTTAGGAGCGGAGTAGGGGGTAGCGGGTAGGGCTAGAGGTGAGGGGGTGGAAGGTCGAGGGGGTAAGGGGTAGAGGGTAGGGGGTAAAGGGGGAGTGAGGGCGGCGGGAGTGGTGGGCTGCGTAGGGAGTAGGCCGGCTTGCACCCAGGGAACCATCTATGACTCTAATGAAGCAAAAAACTCACGACAGCTGACGTCGAACAATTCTGAGCCAGCATTCGTTGCATTCGGTGCTTTGGCTGGAAACCGGCTATGCTCTTCGGCGCGGAGGAAGCTGGCCGGCAAGCCAACTCACACTACGGCCACAGGGCTATGAGGGGATGTGCCGAGTGCCTAGGCTCGGAAGCTTGAGGGTTCAGGGTTTGGGAGTTGGTCTTAAGAGTCTTTTGGGGCTTCGGGGGCTTCAGGGGCAAATGCTGGTTTAGAACTTCAACCTGAACTCCTGTTGCCTGTTGGGGTCTCGGGCTAAGGCTGACAGGCCTGAGGCTCTAAGTGAAAGACTTTACGGTTTAGGGTTTAGGGCTACACAGCCCTGGAGACTAAGTTGTTGCTCTGCCGCGAAATTGGTCAAAGCTCAAAACCCTCACCCCTCAACCTTACACCTGAAAGACCATTCCTGAGGCCTGAGCCCCAAATCCGCCCTAAACCTTCCAAACCCCAAACCACAAAACCTTGAGCCCTAAACCCTTCCCAAGCCCCAAAACCTTAGTGTGCTGAAATGAACAGCTTGGACTGAGGTCGACACCCGGCCCTTTGAGGTAAGCCCGAGTTTAGCCACCTCAGTTTAGGGGTTTGGATGGTTTAGGGTGTTCCTCCAATTCGGAGTCCTTACTAAGTCAGGAGTCCAATTCGAAAAGGCATCTTGCAGAGATGAAAACCTTTCATTTATGCGATTATCATGCCGCAGCTTCTGTACGGTAGCCCATGATATGTGAAGCTATAGCCGGAAAAGCAAGTAGAAGAGAACCTTGCTAGGCAATGCTTTCCATATCTTCGACACATATTGGACACATCCAAAACCACAAGACGTCTAAGAATCGTCCAGGGGGCTTAGACAGGCAATAAGCCATGGGCTGAGGAACCCGGCTCCGCTGCCCAGGGAAACAGCGAGTACCGGAGACATCTGCGGCCTGCCCAGGATCCCACAAGCACCAAAAAACCTGTACACGCCCCGATAGACTCTTCAAACACCATGTTTGGCCCGGGATTTTCGTATCGGCATCCTGTGACAGCTGTTGACCTGGTGGCGGCTTCCAGACTCTTGGGCTGCTTTGGGCTTTCAGGGGGGTTTTAGGGATTGTTGGAAGGGCATCTTCTGGCGCAGCGCCGCGGCTGCAGGCCGAGAGAATACACAAGCGGCAGGAATGCTCTGAAACGCACGTGAATATTCCTACCCACGTGTGCCTCATAAGCCAGAGGCTGCATTCAACCGTTCCTTGTTCAGATCTTCTGTTCTGCTTCAGGATTTGGGTATTCGGTTCGGTTTCGGAGCTTTTGGGTTTAAGGCTGAGATCACCAAAACCGTAACCTATTCCCTTTAACTCAAAATGCCCCCGGAAAATCGGGGAAGAACAATAATACGGTACCTTAGAGCTTTCTCTGGTATATCATTCAAAACCGACCCTTAACCCGGCCCTTGAACAAAACCTTTACCAGCCTTAACATCCCTTACTAGTAACCTCAAGCCGTCGAGGCGCAATTAAGGCCCCGGCGCGCAGCGGATGAGATCGCTCAATATGGCCACCCAGGAGGCTGTGTCCACGTGCCCGTCTCCTGCTCGGACCTTATGGCAGCACACGCTATGAGTTCTAGGGTTAAGTTTAGGGCTTAGGGTCTCGGTTTAGGGTTCAGGACCTGGGGTGTTTTCGAGCTTAGGGGGGAGGTCATGCATGGGGGCTATGCTAACACGCTCTTTAAGGGGCCGTATTTACAAGGAACCCGTGTAGGACAACCTCAGCACCATTGGGACAATGATGCAAGACAGAATTCCAAAGAGTGCATGCGGAGGTTGTTCCGGCAGAATCGCACCTTGTTGCCCATCTCTACGGCATCATGAGAAACCCCGCTTCACAGTCTTAGATCTGGGGGCGCATAGGGCTTCTGGAATTGATGGGGTTGAGGAATGTTGAGGATTTAAGGTTCAGACCTGTGGCATCTTCGCTGGTGCAATCAATCTTCAGCGGAGCGCCTGGGACTCTGGCCAATCTGGCCGCAGAAATGGCCTCCCACACATGCATCATCCAAAACACCAACATCTTTATTCCTAAAGCCCTACGGAAGCTCTCTGAATCAAACCGAAGTTTCCTGTCCCGATAGGGTCGGGGCTGAGTTCCCTGCACCAGCATCACACTTGCAGGGATTTGTAGGGATTATGCACTCTTTTGGGCCTCAAATTCAGCTCGGAAAAGACTATTGAAGTACTGTTCTGTTCAGAAGTCAATCCTGTGGCCTTCGTACAAGACGAAGTAGAGCTTCAGGGCTTTAAAGTACACTGCCAAACAGCTTCACGAGGCCCCACTCACAATACCATCCTCGAGCCCTGAATCGTTGAAGCACGCCACCAAAACCTCAAATGCAGAGCGTCGATGTTTTCTGCCCAATTCCACACCATTTGGCGGCGCATGATTCCGCAAGAGTACTGTGAGTGGACCTGCCTGGATAGGGTGCGACGGTTTGCAGATGACCAAAGCACGTGTATGCTCCCCGCAAGAAAGTGTGCGCGAACTGCCTGGAAGACTTGTTGCTAACAAAAACTAGATCCGAAAAGGCCCAGGAGGCTACCTAAAACCCCGAACCCTGCAAATGAAGCAACCGTAGGTAATACGACCCTCGAGAAGAAAAACGCCCTACCACTCTAAAACCAAAACGTTTAAACCAACAGAAAGCTTGTAAGCCCCACCAAAACGGGGAAGGTACTTTGTACCTTGAAGAGGGATACAACGGATGACCCGCAAGTACACAGCATTGATCTTCTCCCAAACTCTACTATGCTGAAAGACTCTAAAAGCCAGAGCAACTGAAAGCCAACCAAAAGACAGTTCTCCAGCGCAAAACATCCACGTGCGATGATCAAGAATGGGAACTACTTGGGCCCCATTGTAGTTGCCCCACAGGCCTTATTGTAGGCCCGTTTGGGTCTAAGTTTCTACTATATGGGCGCCTCGACCTTCATGGTAGCTAAAGCCTGGCAATGTGGCCTTCTTGCTTAGCGGCAGGCGCTCGAAGTCCGTGGCGATCGTGGACTTCGAGCCAGGGTCCCTCCTTGGCATACATGGCATCTTTGTACACGTCATTCGGGATTGTGCAGGGCTTCGGATAGTGGCTACGGTGTTTTGGTTTAGGGGCCACGGTTGTCCAAATGGGGAGCTTTGCTTGGACTATTTTTGGGCTTAGAGCCTTGCAGCCCAGCGATCCTGGCAAAAATTCTCCTTCTTGCCTCCCCCTTCCTGTACTGTATACCTTCCTTCGTTCTCTTCTCCCCTTGTCCCGCGAATGAGGCATCAGCACGGGCGAACAAGCTAAGGTGCAGAGAAAGGCTTTCTCACTTGCCACACGATTCTACAGACGAGCTTGCTGTGATACCAACATAATGAACAGCTACTGGGAGCACGACATCCTGGATCCTCAGAGGATGCCGTAGAGTCTGTTTGGAATGATGGGGTGGTTCGCTGGGGTCGCACAAGAAGACACAACTGTTCAAACCCGTTGAAACCCTTAAAATGGTTGGTCGCCCTTCCTCTTCGTGCACTTTCTCTCTCTCTTTTCCCTCGCTTTCTCTCTCTCCCTCTCTCCCGTCCTCATCTGTTTCTTCATCCCCAGCTTGACGCAGGTAAAAAGAAACTTGAATAAACTGGGAAACGAAGGCCCTGCCCCCCCCCCCCCCTGCTTGGCGACCTTTCTGGTCAAGAAAGCGCAGAAAGGTAGAGGGGAGAGGGTGGACATAGGCAGGAACATGACCTCTTCTTTGTGCTGCCCCTTCTTTCTACTTATTCTTCTGCTTCTTCTTCTTCTTCTTCTTCTTCTCCTTCCTTCTTCTGAGCGAGAGCGCCGGCAAGAAAAGGGACAGGTGGGGAAAACGGCCCACGCAGTCTTTCGATATGTAATTCTCTGAGAAAACACGACAAGACAAGCGAACGAAGAACTTGACATTCCCTGTTCTCTCCCCCCAAGCTCAGTTCTGCTGTTGTTCATATATCTCCTTCATCCGCGAAGCAGCAAAGGTGAAACAGGACGAGCACATAAGGATGCCCATGTGCACCTGTCTTCCTCTCTTCTTTCATTCCTTCTCCCTCCGCTGCCATCATTTCAGAAACTAAGAAGCAAAGAAAGAGACGAGAGAGCGGCAGAAGAGAGAAGGTGGAGAATTCCCCTGCTCTCTTATCCTGCCCTTGCCACTCAGAGGCTTGTTCTTTCTCTTCCGCACGCAGTTCTCATTTGCAAGAAGGAAGGCGCGCAGGAAGGCAGAGGGACAAGTGACTGAGGATTTGCCCCACTCCCCTTCCATTACTTTTTCTCTGTGTTCTCGGAAGAGGCTCGCTCCCCATCCCCCTTCCTGTCAATGGTATTTTCTTCGTTCCTGAGACACGCAAAGACGATGGCCCAAAAAAAGTAGCTGCATGTAGCCCTTCCCTGCCTTGCTAGAGTCTGCTTGTCTTCTTGTGGCTGATTTTGAATTTCTGCGGAAGCATGACCAGGAAAGATGAAGATCGAGTGAAACGGAAAAGAAAGCGCTGATACTGACAGAAACTGAAGTTGAGAAGATGAAGAAACAGAAAAAGTCAGAGACAAAGAGTGTGTCCGGAAATAGGCCTCCTGAACACTCTGGTCATTGGCATCTTGTACTGTGATGTCTTTCTCTCTGCCCCTCTCTCTCGCTCATTCTCGTTCTGGTTTCATTGTTCCTCTGCAGCAGCACCCCGTACGATAAGGATGAAGTGGCTCATGGTGAGACGAAGCTAACAGAAACACGGCACTTTCGTTACCTTCGTTCATAGTTACTCCTAATGGCATGCATTTTCTTCGCGCAAAACGGTATATTTAGTGAGAGGGGGGGGGGGGGCACCACGTAACATCTATTCTTTACGGGGTGTCTTTATGACACAGCAGCTTTCACATGGCAGCTCTCCACAACTTCTTCCACACGTCATATTTTGTTCCACAACTTCCTCCACTCATCGAGCCCATGCTTTCACAACTTTTCAAAATTGTCCGCAACTTTTTCTGCACTTTTTCCATACTTCTCTGCAATATGTTCTACACTTTGCTGCTCAACAGGCAATATTTTCTACACTTTGTTCCAAACATTCCTGCGCAATGTTACACCATTAGAATTACCAGATACGGGTGCAGCGGATGTTGCGTTCAGGGTTTGCTGGGTATTCAATGGTAGCGACAAGCAGGCTGACAAGTACCTCTTACGGTTGTACTCAATTTCAAGTTAGCTAGCATGTCAGTGGAGGAGGAGAAAGGTGTTTTGGGGCTCATACTGTAGCATGACTCAATTGTTGGGCTTTGGATTTGATTTTTCTTGTAAGATGTACTGTATATTGGTGCTTCATAGAAAACGAAGAGGTTCACCACATTGCACCTGAATGTCCGTGCTAGAAGACCTACACCCTATCATAGACCTCAGCCCTGTATTCCTGTATCGCTAGCATTCTGCAGGCAACCCGAAAACACTGTGCTTGTAACCCTATTGCCCGGTGTGGCAAATTCCGCCCAGGGTTGCGCCTACGTTGTCTTTTGCAGGCAAGCGGCAAAGAAGTTGAATGCACTTCGTCTGCAATGGTGCTGAGATGGACCTGGCAAGAAAAGAGTCCACCTGAGTGTTGGGGATGTTGGGGTATACTGGGCATCTAGTCTACAACCCTACTTGGGACCCCAAAGAGACTTACTTGTGACTGGGGCAGCCAGGGCTAAGCGTGGTAGTTAACCCACAAAACCCTTTTACCTTATGCCGCAAAACTTACCAAATTCGTCCATGTACCTACATGGATGTATTAGACGCCCGAAGCTACGGTGGAACCCATGTATTCCGTTTGACCGTGCCTGGACCATGGGTTTATTAAGTGCTTTGCAGAAACTCCCTACGCCTAAACCCGAAACCCTGAACCCTAAACGAAGTTCCCCTTTCAGGTCTGAGACCTGAATGAAGAGCCTTGCTGATACCCCATACCAGTCAATGTGAAGCATGTGGAAACCCTAGACCCTCAACCCTTTTGAGGGTTCGTAGGCTCCCTAAACTCTAAAATGCTTGGGCGTCCTTGTAGTCCTGAAAGGCAACGAACTTTAACAAAAGTGAGAGCCTCCCACTTAGGGAACCTTGGGTTCAGGATTTGGGTCTAAGGGCGCCGAAATCGAAGCGTCATCGGAGCATTTACGCTGTCTTGCAAGAGGGTCTGGCCATGGCTTCTCTTGCGACAGCTACCTGAGCCCTCGACTGCCTACTATTTTGAGGGTCGACTCCCTACTTGCAGGGGTGCTGGGACCTCGAATAATTTGCAGGTGTTGGGCTTGCAGGTCGCTTGCTGGTGTACATACTAAACATACATACCAGTTCTCACCAGGTCAGTCCCCCCCCCCCCCCCGAACCACGTAAGCCCTTGGCAGGTCTTGCCTGAAAGGAGTGGGCGCCGAGCCTCCCAGCAAAAAAGGGTGACATTCCCTCAACAGACCTTGGGTTGTCCGAGTTCGGCATCCTCGAAGTCGTAGTCTCGTAATCTCTGAAGTCATAGTATTGGCCGCCCTCAACCCTGAAACCTCAAACTACAAACTCTAAACAACAAACCCCACAACCCTACACTGTTTAGGAAGTCAGGAAGCTCTCCTGCCAGCTGCCAGGAGAGCAACTGTTCATCTTAGCTGTCTTAGCTGACTTCAGCGGCCCATCGTCACCCGAAATGAGGGTTTCAAAAACAAGCAGGGGTGCTGTTAATTGAAATCTCGGATGACAAGGAGTACCGAATTTTGGAGGCGCATAAGCGTACCTATTGCCAGGTCCAAAAAACACCACTGAACACACAAAACCAGACACTCCGAAGACCTTCACCCGCTGGCTGGTTGGGTGCAGTGGCAGCTTCGCGGCTTCAGGGTTGGGCGGCTTTTAGGGCTGGCACCGTCTCGGTCCCTCAACTCCTTAAACCACAACCCGAACTCTTGGATTGACATAGGCTCCCTGAGCTCAAAGCTGGCAGCGATGTGTTAACTGAGGGCCTTTTGGGCCACTGGCACCCATGAACGCTTCTGAACCCATGTGCCGCTAGAGCCCAAACCGCAGCCCCGGACCCCCAATACGGCGTCTCAGTGGATGAACAGGGAAGGGTCGCGGGTCGGCAGCTAAGGAGTTGAAGGGTGGAAAAGAGGGGTCAGGGCTCATAGGGTTTGGGCTTAGATTTTTGGGACCGCATGAACCCACGAGAGTTCGGGGCTTTCAGCCTCGGAGCTACGTGAACTTTCAACTTGTTGAAAGCGTTTCTGATGCACAGATTTTAGAGTAGCTCGGGGCATCCGTCCCGCTTTTAGGGTTCATTTAGTGCAGCGGATCAAGGGCTATGAGCATCGCTCTGAGAGTTCGCCGTGTCTTCGTGAACTCATTAAAAGGTACCCTAGACCTTGAAAAATCCTCCAAACTCCTTGAGAGAAACCCTGAACCTTGATCCTGACCTCCTGGCTGCCAGCGCCAGCCCTTCGGAAGCTGGGCGCCATCCTGCGTCGTTCTTGGCTTTGGCAGCAAGGGTTCCGTTCAGGGTTTGAGGCCGAAAGGCGGGGTTTCGGAGAAATGGCCAATAGGGTTTGGAATCCTTGGTAGTTTGAGTTCAGGACGTAGAGGTGGTCCTTAGCACGCCAAGCCCTTTAACATAGCCTTCCTCCACCCGTAGCCACAAGAAAACGACAAGAACCAACAAATCCTACCTCGGACCCCGCGCCTAAGGTGTTCCCCTTGGAGTTGGGCTTTAAAAGAGTGTAAACCTTTTCATTAAACCTATGGCGAAAAGTTGCGAGAAGCAGCCCCAAATCAACTCCAAAAACGGCGGACACCGTATAAAGCTCTGGATAGAAGGACATGGGAGGACCCTACCAGGCCGACTCCCGAAACACCGGCAAAGTGCCCTCAAGCCCGAGCCCTGACGTCATGCACCCCTATGCTCTATAAACCCGTAAACCACAAAGCGAATCCTTGTTCAACTCGGAACCCTATGCATTATGCTTTTCAATCCTTATACGAGCCCTAAACCCTAAACATGCCTCAGCAGTAAACGTTTGTTTTGTGAAACCCTAAACAAAGACTCCTCCGAGCTTGCAGAGGTGTGGCCATGGCATGAGTTCACAGAAGAAAGACGCCCGCCAGGGGCTTTTGTGGTTGTTGTAATCCCACGAACTGTTAAGGGTTTCTGATTCGGTTGCTGCGGGGTGTGAAGGTGTAGAGCATCCCGTCTGGGCTCAAGCCCTGGGAAAAGGGAGGGGGGGGGGGGGGGGACGGAGTGAAGGCTTTAGGATGTCTTAGGTTTTGGGTGGGTTGTGGAGGGTTGTGAAGGGGGGGTGGAGGTGGAAATGGCTTGATTGAAGGCTAGGCAGGGTTCAGGGTTAGTAATTTGTAGGGCCTGGTACACTGGGAACGCATGTCTAGAATGCTTTCATATTCTTTGCCCTCTAGCAGGACCAATTCAGGAAACAAGTGTGAGGTGGAAGGTCACGGGAAGGCCATGGGAATCTGTAGATGCTGGAGGGTGCTCTGGCCTAGACGGAAGGCGCGCGAGAGCAGCGACCCGAAACCCTGAAGCCCAAAACGCGGCAAAGATACCCCTGCCTGCAGACAAAGCTAGAGTAAACGGAATGCACTAGAGAAGGGGCATGCACCAAATGATCAAAGCAACTCCTCTGTCAAATGAACATTTCAGGGTTAGTCAAGGTCTGCACTTCAGCATTTAGCCGTTGCTGTCAGCGTAAAACAGTAGCTTGCAACCGCTGCATTATTCGCACTAAATCTCAACGCCTAACATTCACCACTCCGATCATTCAGGGGTCATCCAATGTATACCCCTTACGGCTTAAGGTCATTTACAACCTAGCCTCTCTCAGCTGTTTTGCCTTCTCAGCATGCCATCTCTGCCCCGCGCTCACAGGATGCGCAGAGACGGCTCAGAAAGGGGCCCAAACGCGCTGAAGCTGCGGCAGGGAGCAGGAGGAGGCGGGCTGCACAGGGATAAACGAGATGCCAGATGTCATGTCCAGGGCATCCATACAAAGCAACAGCTGTCGCCGCAGTCCCCTGGCGCACGTGCAACTCGCCAGTGAGGGAGGTCTGGCCTGGGCATCTGCAACGTGGCGAACACGGCGTGGAAGATTTCATCAAGCGGCTCGCTCTATCAAGCTGCGGCGGAGCTCTAGACCTGCCTCAGACAACAGATGCTTCTTTATGATCGAAAATAGAGCTTTGCCCAAACCCTGAGACCCCAATTTACCTCAACCTCAGCTGAGGACGAAGAGTGCACATGTATGTATGATTTTTCCTTTGGCTCAGGGAAGTGGGGAGGGGGGAACCAAGACCTTACGGTTTCACTATGCTTGGGAGCATCAGATCTAAAGAGGGTGGTCCTAACCTCTATGGGGGACATTTTCCCAAACTAGAAATCCTACTTTCCACTATGCAGGTACTTAGGACCCTTAGGGGTTCTCCTGACGTTGGACATAGGGTGGAAGTGCAGGAACATATGTGGGCGTCACATGCCCATCGTAAAATAGTGAGAAAAATGTCGTGTCCATCAGGTGCGCAATTTTGAGTGACAAACCCGAGCTCCCAGGCAAACGCCCGAGTACTTGCGTGCCGAGGCACAGGATATCCGCCGTATAGGTAGAGGAGCATGGGGCACCAAAGCAATGCCACGACACTAAGGCCCATGGAAGCGGGGGATGCGCCTCGAGGGAAAGGCGATGCTGAAGATGAGCGAGATGAGGTGGCTGAGTGAGACCAAGATGATGAAGATACTGCTGGAGATGGAGAGGAAGGTGATGAACCAGTATGAAGATGCTGAACTTGAAGAAGTTGTGATGCAAGACAGACTTTTCATATTTTTATATACAGATGGACGGAGAGAGATGTTCTTCCAGGGGCCCGCGTTTGTTCGGTATATATGAGCGCTATCAAGGAAGCTAACTTCTCTATGCAAGGCTCAGATGCACGCGATTGTCTTTATGACAACTGCTTTGACATATCGTGACTCATTCTGCCGCTCTAGCTAGTCTTGTTGTAGCTGCACTGCGAGATTGAAGTCATTGAACTATGCTCAGTCCGGATTGCACTCAAAGTGGAAACGTGGACATTTGGACAAATGTCGAGATGTGGAAAATGGAACTGTGGCCATGTGGTAAGTAAATCGGACATGTTGAAATGTGGGAGATCTATGATAGATTTCGCTTGTATTCTGGAGATGTGGAAACGTACATCTACACGCGCAACTACAATACACATACTGTATGTATGCATACAACCCTGCTGCCCTCTTCTCACAGTCTGCGGAAGGTCGCGGGGAGGGGCATAGCCAATGAAGAAAGAAGATAACTTGAACACATATCTAGTGTCATGGCCTCTGCGCAAGAATTAAACCGGGGCGCTTGCATGCGGGTGCGCGTGTGCTTGCGTGTGCGAGTATGTGCGAGTCGTTGCACGTGCACACGCGCGCGCGCGCGCGCGCGCGGGCGTGCGGGCGTGCGGGCGTGCGTGGCGCGGCGTGGGCGCGGGGCGTGGGCGGCGTGGGCGTGGGCGGGCGTGGGCGTGGCGTGGGCGTGGGCGTGGGCGTGGGCGTGGGCGTGGGCGTGGGCGTGGGCGTGGGGCGTGGGCGTGGCGTGGGCGTGGGCGTGGGCGTGCGTGTGCGGTGCGTGTGCGTGTGCGTGTGCGTGTGCGTGTGCGTGCGTGTGCGTGTGCGTGTGCGTGTGCGTGTGCGTGTGCGTGCGTGCGTGCGTGCGTTTGGTGTGTGTGTGTGTCTGTGTGTGTGTGTGTCATGTGTGTGTGTGTGTGCATGTGTGTGTGTGTGTGTGTGTGGGCGCGCGTGGGCGCGGGCGAGCGCCGGCGCGTGCGCGTGCGAGTGCGAGTGCGCGTGTGCGTGCGTGTGCGCGTGTGCGCGTGCGCGGGTGCGGGCAAGTGCGACTGTGCGCCTGTGTGCCTGTGTGCCTGTGCACCTGTGCGCCTGTGCGCCTGTGCGCCTGTCTGCGCCTGTGCGTGCGTGTGCGTGTGTGAACGTGCGTGCGTGCGTGCACGTGCGTGCGAGAGGTTGTGCACGTGTGCGCGCGGCGCGCGCATGCGCACGCGCGCATGCGCATGCGTGCCGGTAATAACAGTTGTGTATGTATATATATATATACATATACATATATATATATAGATATTTATATTATATGTGTATATATAATATACAGTATATATCATATAATATAATATAATAAAGTATAATATAATATAGTATAGTATAATATAATATAACACAATATAATATAATATAATGTAATATAATATAATATAATATAATATAATGTAATATAAAAAAATATAATGGAATGTAAACTAATATAAATCTTGCATTATATACATTATATATGTGTATATATATATGTATGTATGTGTGTGTGTGTGTCTGTCTGTCTGTCTGTCTTTCTGTCTGTCTGGCTGTCCGTCTGTCTGTGTGTCTGTGTGAGGGTGTGCGTGTGCGTGTGCGTGTGTGTGTGTGTGTGTGTGTGTGTGGGTGTGTGTGTGTGTGTGTGCGCGTGCGTGTGTCTCTGTGTGTGTCTGTGTGTCTATGTGTCTGTGTCTGTGTGCCTCTCTTTTTGTATCTCTCTCTCTCTCTCTCTCTCTGCGTGGGTGGGTGGGTGGGTGGGTGGGTGGGTGGGTGGGTGGGTGGGTGGGTGTGTGTGTGTGTGTGTGCGTCTCTCTCTCTCTCTCTCTCTCTGTGTCTGTCATTGTACAGTAGTCAGATTCATTCTCGCTTCAGGGCGGGCAGCCTCAGTCCTCAACCTCGCATCTCAAACCCAAAGACTTAGGTCCTCAAACCCCTCGGCCAAACTGCAAACGGAAAAGCCGTGCATCCTGGAGGACCCCAGCACCCTGACTCCGTCCAGCGGCCTATTTCCCGGCCACGCTTGCCAAGGCGGAGCCCGAGGAAAATGGCAGGTGTGGTGAGCAGAAGCTGACGAAGGACCTAACAACGTTGAGGCGCAGTTTGCTTAAAGATTGTGGATTTAAACTATAGGTTGCTCACACCTTCAGCGTCCCTGAGCGCAAGTCCCCTGACCTTATGTGACAGCACGTGCATAGCTGCAGTGCCTCTGCATGGCGGGAGTCTTGCAAGCGCGCGACCACCGAATTTACTGAAAAATGATATCGTTTGCAAGTCTAAACGGTCAGGAGCATCTTCGAAGGTCGGTGCTTTGTGTGTGGCGTAAATTTCATGCCAGGCCAGGACGACAGTGCTCGAAAGCACACGCACCGAAGCACCACATCTGAAACAATGAGCCCAGGACCCCGAGATTCCTACAATCTCATAATGAGCCCAAACCCTACTAAATCAACTCCAAACTCGCTAAACCTCAAGCCCCAAACCCTATATAATCCTACCTAAAGCCCTGGATCGCCAACGCCCGATGCGACGCGATTGTTTGGCGTGTACTGGCATGAGACTAGCATCAAGGCCCCTGCTAGACCACCAGAAGCATCTCCATGGACGAACGTTTCCGCCCGCTTGCACAGTGTTGACATGTTGGCGAATCCTTGCAGCCGATAATGGTTGGTGCACTCATCCTGGGTCCCTGCCGGTAGTTGTGCGGCTTGGGCCTGAAGGGTGCTGTGTGCTTTGGCGTCTGCGCGGGTACTTGGGAGTTCGTGGCTGCATTCTTGAGATGGCCAATTATAACGGTGCCTTGACGAGAGGGACGGTATTCGCAGGCCACAGATCCCGGATGGTCGACCCCATCCATCCATCCATCCGTCCACGAACGTTTCCAAGTCCACACAGCTCCACATGGACTTCCGCTGGGCTTTTGGGTTTTGGGGTTTTATTTAGGACTGGCGGCTGATGGCCGCCTAGGCGGTTTAGGATGTATGTCAGTAAGGTCTTGAAGGACTTGAGGTTATTGGGTCCATGCGGATTCTGGGGTAGCACTCGGCCCGAAGCTCTGGAACTTATATAGAACCCAAAACCCAAACCCAAGAATCCTTAAACACCCTAAAGCAAGAAGCAACAATCAAAAACCCTAAAAGCCCTAGAGCTTTCAGCGCCAAGTAGCCCCCAGCTCTCTGGGATGACGCATCGCCATCTCACGCACGGCTGCGACCGAAGGCCGCTCCCCCGCCTAGCGCAAGGATAGGCATAGGGATTCTGGCTTAAGGTTTCAAGACTGAGGGTTCTTAGGGCCTTGTAGGGCCTATATATACTTAGATGGGTTTAAGGTATGAGGACGGCCCCAAGTACGACTCACCTATCTAGAAACTGGCCTGCTGAGGTTAGGCTTAGTAGGCGGTTTGGGATCTGTGGGGCTTAGAGCTGTTAAACTGTTGGAGGGAGCCCCCAAGCCCCAAACTTTAAAAACCGTACACCCCAGCACCTCGCCGACCAGAGACTTTGGTCGCTCGTCTGCTTTGCCCGGGCCATCCTTCAGGCCAAAGCTTTAGGCTGGTTTCACGTTTTGGACTTGAGCTGTTGTTAGGGTTTAGGGTTGTTTGCTCGGTGTTGAAAGTAGTCTTGTTTAGGTTGTTTAAATGCGCATTTATGGTTTGGGGCTTGAGGAGCTGGAGGGTTTTAAGTGTTCTTGTGCTTCTAGAGTTTTAAGGGCTGTGATGCTTTCGGGGTCTTCTTAGACTAAGCTAGGTTAAACAAAGAACACAAAAACAACTAGCGCATTTCACAGGCACGGGGCCCGCTTTGCTTGACTCGAGGGAATCGGTCTTAGGGCATTGGGTTTGGGGTTTGGAGGTTATTTAGGGATATACAGGGTTGAGGGCATGAACATGATTAAGGGATGCGAAGAGTTTAGCTCCTTTAGATTCTGTGGGATCAGAAAGCTAATCAGGGTTTTGTCTAGGGCTTCAGGAGTACTATTCAGGGACACTAAGGATTTGGGGCTTGAGGAATGTTGGATTGAAAGAACACAGCTGACAGCATCTTATCATCCAAAGAAAGTCTTTAAGACGAGCTCTTGGTGAACCCAGCTAAGCACCCGAATGAGCCCTACCGTCAGAAGCCAACAAACCCTAAACTCCAAAAACCCGACGTGAGCCCTCAACCAGTATCTCTTCCTCACTAGCCCTGCTCTCTCAGAAAGCCCATTCCGCGCAAGGCGGGTGTATGTGGGTTTAGAACTGAGGGCTTAGGGCTTCTGGGGGCTCAGTGCTTCCAAGGGCTTATAGGGCTTCCTGAGAGGTTAGGGTTTTAGGGCTCAGAGCAAGCGAACGATGAGCAAAGCCATGAAGTCGCACCCACGCCCCGAAGATGAGGCCCAAAGAAGCGCCAAAGGCAGCATAGCCAGCACCTTCCACCTGACAAGCCGAAACCAGTTTAGATGCAAGATTTAGGGTTCAGGGTTTAAGACGTTCTTGGGATGCAAGCCCCAACCCTAAACTTGCTTATCTGCCGACTGAATGGAACTAACATGTCAGGTTCCAAGTTTTTAGCGGCATCAGGATGTATGAAAAGCGGTTGGGATGAGATTGCAGTGCCAGGGCCTTCACTCTGGGATTGTAACAGGATGGTAAGCTGCCCTAAACCCTGAATCCTACCTAGGATGTCAATTCCTGTTTACGGGTTCAGAGATCGTACCCCCACAACAAATACTCCAACACAAATCGCTTGCCAAGCGAATCCCGAGGTTAAAATGGCTCCCCCAAGCCTACCCAAGCTCTAATGCCACGCTCTGACATGGCTTTGCGCAGGATGCTTGGCTAGGGATTAACAGGATTGGCTTGATGGTGCAATATTGATGCTGACACACATGTGCATGTGTACATATACATGTCTAGATGTTCGTCCACATCACTGTCCCCTTCGTCTATACCAAAATTGACCTACCTATATAAGAGCCTACAACAGCGTTTTACCAAACAACCATTGCACTTCCGTTTTGGGTACCTTATGTTTATGGCTGGCAAAAGAATTAGAAAGTACAGAAAGTTGATGCCGAGGGTCTGGGTAAACCCTCCAACCGACCTACAAAGGATCCAAACTCATATCATTAAGTCGAGCTGGGCATTCCGTCTTGGGCTCCATTTGCAGGCGTTCTACTGTTGAGTGATGCTGAAGCATCTTGTGTACGACTCATACAGTAGGCCGAAGCGCGGCGCATAAACCGATAAACCTAGACTTTTCAAATGCTGGCTGTGAGATGAGATCTGTTTGCCTTGTGCCTGCGTTGCGGAGATCCCGAACCAAGCTCTGCCAGTGTGCCGAACGCAGGTCACCGGTTTGTGGTCTAGGGTTGCTGTAACCATATATCCTTAGAAACCGAAATCTACCCAATCAATTCCTGCACCTTCTAAAGAGTATACACATAGAGTCTAGAGTTCTCTGAAGGCGCCTCCTGGTGCATTCGCTACTCATGTCGCTGCAGCACAGCCGAGGCTTAAAAAATCAGTCGTCTGTTAGCTGGCGCACAGCTTAGGGACATCAGGCTTTTTTGGGGTACCTGCCTAGAAAACTTTTCTATATAAGATGACACTCCCCCCCCCCCAAAAAAAAAAAAGAAAGCAAACCTTAAGAACCTTTGAGCCAAGGGAAGGCATGGCTGGCCTTGAACTCCGAGAGCAAGCGTCGCGCATTTGCACGGATGGCCATGGGTTTTATGGCTTATAGGCCCTAGGCTTATAGGGACTTGAGTTGAGGGTTGTAGGTTGCAAGGTGGAAGGTGTTCGGATTCAGGACTGAGGCTTCAGGGTTTCAGGTGGCTTGGCCCTTACGATTTGGGGGGGGGGGGGGGGGGCGGGGCGGCTTATGCCGCGGGCTTGTGGGTTTAAGGGTTTGGGCTTTTAGCTGAAGGAGTTAAAGGCTTAGTGCTTTAGGGCATAAGGGTTTCAGGGTCTTGGGTTCGGGTTCGTTTCGGGTTTATAAGGTTGTGTATGGAGGTGTGTTCGGATTCAATTGGGTATCGAGACTTCAGCACCCGTTCGGGCAACAACATGCCACCATGTCAGAGTTGGAGCTGAGGTCCGGATTAGGTGCGAGCGCTTTTTGGGCTTGGGGTTTGAAGAGTCTGCTAGTACTGCTGGGCTTCCTAACGAGCCTCGTCCCCGAACCCAACTTTGCAATTCGAAAGGTCGCCCGTTGGGCAAAGAAAGCCAGCACCATTACAGACAATACCAAGTCTGAACCCCCGAAGGCCGCACCTATAAGGCAGAAAACCCTAACCCCAAACACCCAGAGAGTAGCCATAGGATCCTCCAGAATTTCCTCCAATGGAGTAAGCCCGGAATCAAAGACCAAAAGAAGGTGGGAAGCTTTGCGAGCGAGAGCGGCAACCCGGGATTCAACAAAAATCCTAAACCCGAAACAGCTTTTCTGTCTTTTGTGCAGGGCCCAGCCCATGTAAGGACCAAGCGATCCTGGAAAGGCTACGCGGCGCGGTGCCCGAAAGACGAGGCAGCGAGCTCTTACAGGGCTTCTGTTTTTTTCTTTAATTGAGGCTTGGAAGATGGGTTTCGTGGCAACTTGGGCCAGATTTCAGGCTTAGGCTTGAGAGCGCCTCAGGTTTAGGAAGTTTAAGATCTGCAGGAGCTTTTTCAGGTTTTGAGGTCACTAGGTTACGGCATGGGAACCTGTAGGGCGCTTTTTAAGCTTTGGGGCTTTGGGCCTTCCGGAAGAGTCTGCGTACCGACGAATGGGACATTCGGGCTTTGAAGCAGTTCCTAAGCAGTGACGTTGGGCCACACGTATATAGTATTGAGGCACATGGTCCTTTAGGGTTTGAAGGTTTGGGGCTTGCAATCCAGGGCTTGTCAAGAGTAGCCTGTACACTTACCCTGTGCAAAGGCACGTACGTTGCAAAAACCCTCTTTAAAGAACACAAGCCTTCTTGACCCTTGGCGTTGAACATTCAGACGGTTGGCAATGTGCACGGGTCTCCTAAAACACCCTAATTAAGGGGTCAGGGTCTGCAGTTGTGTTCGTGATATCGTCATGACCTTGCTATGGAATGGATGCAAAGCAGCAGTAAAGCAGCAGAGATCCCTTGAAGACGCTGCTCGGTCCACAGGCTCAGACGATGCAAAGATTCTCGCGCACAATGGCGAAGGACATTATCTGATAACCTCATGGACAGTGAAACCCTAAACTTGCCCTAAACCTCATAAGTCCGAAGACCGTGAGGGAATTGGAAGTTCGGGTGTAACGATCGAATTTGAGCGCTCATGGGCAATGGGGCTAAGCAGTAGAAGCACAGCAAGTGAACTACGACCTGAGAGAACAACAAATGTCTCGTTGTGAATAAATAGGAGTAAGAACACCTAAGACCGCACCTCAACAAAACAAAAAAAAAAAAACAAAGGTACCACTGACAATGCTGGGAAAAGGGTGGCGCTTGAGGAAATTTACAGAGAAGCTTCAGGGTGTTGAGAGGGTTGTGAAGTTGTTCCTGGTTCTCCCTAACCCCAGGACCTGGTCCAAGTGCGTCAAACTACACAAATTGCCGCCCTGGCCCACCAGGGCTGAGGGCCCATACACAGGGTTCAAAGGCTTGCCGAAGCCCAAAACCCAACACTCCCAAAGCCCATAGAGCTCTAAACTCCTCAACTCTAAACTCTAAACCCCTGAACCCTAGGGTTGAGTTTTGACCTGGCTCCAGAAATATTTCTCAGAACTTCAACGAAGACCGAAGCCCTTCCTGGGAGCCCAGGCCCCTAAGAACATGGTTTAGGGTTTCTGCTTTAAGCTGTACAGTTTGAGGATTCCTGAAGATATATAGATGTCTTGTTCTGAAAGAAGGCGCGTTCTGTCTTCAAGGGACCTTGTCCAAACCTGCGCCCAACATAGGGATTGACTCTAGTGTAGACTATATTCCTTTCAGCAGGTCCAGTGTCTAGGGGCTGAGGGTTTAGGGTTAGAGAGGTTTTTGGGGTGTTGAAGGAGAGTTTACTGGGTTGGGCAGAACAGAAAGTGCCAGGCCTATGTAAGGCCCTCTCAGCTCCCGGCATGTCGTGCTCCCGACTTTTCCCGCGAATCGAAGGTTTGCTTGGCAGCCCAAGAGTTGGAGTCCGCGTCCACGACTTGCCTTGGCATGGCCATCCTTGAGGTTCCTAAACCCGAAGTGGGCCCCCTATGAGGCCCTATTGGCCCCAACGGCTCACAGGCCCAGCAAGAAGATTTGGTTTTGCTGTTCGGGTCTATATAGGGTTTCGAGTTGTTCTGTCCCTTAAACCCTACGCGGGAGTATGAGAGCAAGGATGCGGATCTGTTGTGGTAGAGAATGTCACGACGGGTTTCAAGGGTGGTTTCATGAAGTATGGAGCAGGTGGGCTGATCGAAAGCCCAGGGTAGGAAGAACCTTGACGTGCACATCATTGGTGTGGACTATCATTGGCATAGAGGTTCATACTGTAAAGCCGCAGGTCAGGTTGCAATGCGCAACCAAGAGTTCGTGAGATCAGTGGTGCCCCCAAACCTCCACTACAGCTGTTGGATGAGGGCGTCGTTCTCGTTTCGGGGCTTCCGCAGTCCAACCAAAAAAGCAATGAACACATAACTCTAACCCATAAGTTGCCCATAAACCCGAAGGCCCTACTAAAGACTCAGTCCCTGAACCCAACAGCGATACAAACCTTTGCTCCTAAAGGGTGCAGTGCTTGGTCAGGGTTTACAGTTTAGGGTTGCGGGTCTGACAAAAAGCCGTTGGTCCAAAACGAAGTCGAGCCTTAAGGCCTAAGCCCAATTCGGCCTGTACCTTCCTTGCAACGGTCGCTAATGATAGTGAGGATGGCTTTGTTTACCGCAACTGCCGATTCTAGAAGCCTGTAACCCCCAGCATGCAGGGGTTAGGGTTCAAAGTCTGACTCCGATCGGGAGCTTGATGCGGACGGGGAGTTACTCACCTATCGTCATCCCTATCCTCTCAAGACAAGCCCTACACTAAAGGGCCCAAAAAGTAGGCTTGTATTCTCAGGTTGGGCTACAAACATTTCAACCGATGTCGTACAGCACAGGGGGCCCTAAACCCTGAACCCCCAAAAACCCTAGATTGCGACGGAGTGGCCGCATCTCCCGGCTGTCCACCACTGGCCTTCTTTGGCAAGGCCATGCTTCGAGGGGGTAAGGCTTTCGGCTCCGGAGCTTGGTTTGAGAAAGTAGATGGTTTGGGCTTATGGGGTTTGAGCTTGAGGCAATTACTCCCCCCCATACATGCCCATCTACACCGTACTTGCTAAGTCTGATAGAGTTTACATATGGCGGGGTTGAGAGTTTAGGTCATATAGGCGTTACAGGGCTTGGTTGGGGCTGAGGGTGTTGTCAAGTTTTTGTGTGACTTCTGGGATGTTTCTGAAACAGGTGCCTTCTCAGCACCCCTAAACTGGACCCCTCGCTTCCGCCTTACTCTCTAGACCTTTGATCTTTCTTGACCAAATACCAATTCGATGCCGCCTTACATCCTCACCTGCGTCTTCCCTTATGAGCCGTAACCCCTAACTGTAGCCTGTAGCCATGAGCTTTAATTGCCCGACAGCCTATAGCCTATAGAGCCTAAGGAACACAAAGGCCCAACAAAGCCAGGTTGGGCCAAGGCTACGAAGGTCTATGCCCTAAACACAAAGCCCTAAACTCTGAACTCTGCGTGAATGGGGGTTCATGTTCAGACTTGGTGGGTGTTTTGTGGGGTTCTTTTTGGGCACCAGTTCATAATGAAGATCCTACCTGATGTCTCGTCAGCTCAGCATCTGTCATCCACCCGAGACCTTAACAGCTCAGCCCGAAACTTATCAACACCCGAGTCCGGGACCTGTTCCAGACATGTCTGGCACGTACACATGAACCAACATTTAGATGTAACTGGAGCGGACAGTCACAAAAGAACCCCTACCTAGAACCCTCAACCTTATGTCGTAAACAGGCTCTAGACCGTAGACCCTTTTTGCATCAGACTTTGGAGGTGCTCACCCGGTTGTGCTCGGCCTGTAATTTACATAGGAGAAGACAAGCCTAAATCCTGAAAGCCCTACAAACCCGATACATGAAAAGCCTAACCTGCGCGGCCTTGACATCCTAAGCGCCAAGTCAACGAGGCCGGTTCCACCTAAACCCTAAAAGAAACATCCCCGAAGGAGGCAGCACGCAGGCCTCCCTGACTCGAGGATGTTGTTGGCTTCGCCAACTTTGTGCTCGCCTCGGCCAAGGGCAGTCTGACCTGAGGCCTCAAAACATTGCAGACTACAACGCAATCGCTGCAAGCAGCACTAGTACCGGCACTGTCACCACCAGCATCATCATCATCATCATCAACAACAACAAAGACAAAGCGTAGCAACATGATCCATGGTCAGCGTCACCGCTACCATCGTCGTCAACTGGCGTAATCGTCATCACCATCATCACGATGTGCATTGTCCGAATCGCTGTCCCCACCACCATCCCTCCCCCTCCTCCTCCTTCTCCTCCTCAGCATCACGAGCCATCATCTTCATCATCTTCATCATCATCATCATCATCATCATCATCATCATCCACCTCGTCATGGTCATCGAAGTCATTGCCAAACTTAGATCTAGGTGTTTAGATGTAAGCTGTAAACCTATCAGGCTATCCCACAAAGGCTGCAAAACCTCTGTAGAACCTTTTTTGCCTCTCCTGATCACATGGTTGCCGCCAGGCGTGTGCGAACAGTCTGCTTCTTGGAAGCATGCTCGTGCCAAGTGATGAGAGTTCGGAAACTTTGACCATAACACGCGTGGCCTCCACTTCCCTTTCAGGGCATTTGTACGTTGCCAATACTTTATGAGTCCGGGGGGCAGGTGGTTAAGCTTTATAAGGTGTTTAGGATGTGGGGTGAACACATGCGCTTTTCCTCCTAGAAACAACCTGTTGACTGCTTTTTGGCGGTCTTTACAGTAGCATAAGCAACATACAATAAGCAGCAGGCCCGGAAGCATGTGGAAGGGAAGGGTTTAGGCTCCAGGTCCGTCGGTCCAGAAAGTTCGCGGAGGCACCTCTGCCTCTAGTCTTGCGGTTAGGGGCTTAGGGTGTTCAGGCTTACACACTACCATCAGGCATTGAACAGAAGCATTTTACCTTGACGAAGAAGATAGGATTGAACCGTTTCTATTTTTTCAGGTGGCCGTCCCATGACGGGGACCCGCAAAGGTGTCAGAGTTCGGAGCCATGGAATTCGAAGTATGAGTTTCAGAATTCCTCCCAAACCCCCCGGGCCCCGCTCTCTCAGGACCTTTCGGAAAGCGAGCTGCTTGCCATCAGGCTTAGGGCCTAGGGTTTGCCTCACAGCACGTCCCGGATCGCCCCGGATCTCTTGCCTGGAGTTTTCCAATGACAAAAGCAGGTGAAACATCCGAGAATCCCGGCGCGACCTCGGGAAAACAAGCAGCCCCTTAGGCTAACAGCCCCTCGGAGAGGTCGACCCTTCGAAGCCTTGCTGAATGCCCTGGCAAAGTGGCACGTGGGGCTTGACATAAAATAAGGGCCCATTTGCAGAACCCGCGATTGGCCCCTGAAAGCGTCTGAAAAAAATGTACGAATATGAACCAATAGAGGAAATATGAATTGTCCCCAAGTGCCAACCTAGTATCCTAAACGATGAGGATGATGAAGACACTGACTGTGTTGGGGTATTGGGTCCAGGCTTTAGGGGAGCGTTGTGCGTAGATTCAGCGACTATAATTACTAAGGAAGACATATGCTATTTACTACTTTACTATACGTACAACTTGTTGAATCTTATGCATATATGTACATAAATATGTACATAAATCCGACAGCAGGCAGGAAACAAAGAGGTACGGAGAGGCTCGCAATTCTCACTCTGCGACAAGCTCGTCAGGGAAGACCTCTGCCATTGCCTGGGAGCGCAAAGGGAGCTCGGACGAGCAATCCAGGTGAGCACTGTTGCGGATCCGCTGTTGCCCTGCTCCCAGCTCATGTCGTTAGCTAACCTCCCCCGAAAAGACACAAATTTGGGGTCCAGTCAAAGCCCCGAAACGGCCTTATCAGGCCAAAAAGGTTAGTGAACCGTATAAACCGAAACTTCCGAAAAAGGAGCTGTCAACCCCAGATGTGCCTTCATGAACATTACGGCCTCGCTCGTACACAGATCCTCGACCTCCCAATGAAGGAAAGCAAATTTGATGGCTTGACAGGTGCAGGGCATGCTAGGGTTTAGGTGGCTTGAAGCACAACACGCAAAGAACAGCGCCCACTTCTCTCGCCTTGAACTGGCTTCGGTCTGTGGACTTTCTGTTTTCGTTAGTGGGAGGGCTTTCTTCACCCTAAGCGCAACAAAAAAACCTCTGTGAAAACCCGAAACCTGCTCGAGGTCAGGGGGTCGCTTAGGTTCCGAGACGAACTCACTGTAAAACAAGTTCCTATGCAAGGACGAGAAATTCAGGACAAGTTCAGGAGAGCCACCTTACAGACAGCTTTGATGTGGGGTGTTTAAGGGGTTCTAGAAGGGCTGTGTGAGGGGCACATGGAACATGCACAGCTGGTTGCGTTGCCGTGGACCTTCCCGAATGCATGGCTTCGTGTCGGGGTGCCCGAGGGCCTTGGACCTGTTGCTCAGTGGCCGAATGATGGAAAGGGTAGCCTTGTTGCTGCATCGGGCGTTCCCACAGTTCCACGAAACTCGGGTTAGCCCCAGGTTTTGTAGGGTTTACGGTCGGATCAAGGGTTTAGAGCTTAGGCATTGCATGTGGCTGAGGAAGATTAGACCTCCCACTGCCTTGGTCGAGAAACAAGGACCCTGGCTTCACACTGTAACCCAGAAGGGTGGGGCTACTTCAAGGTTCATAGTTGTAGCCGGCTTAGCATCCATAGCTATGACGGGCCTTCTTTGGAGGCTACTTGTTGTTTTAACCCTCCCTAAAACTACTCACAAACCTTCAAACAGCCTGCTTGTGATCATCCCATTTCTCGGTGAAGTCTCTCATCAGCTGCCTGCCCGTCCTTGCCGGAAATGCATTGTTGCGCAGGAAGACTATATTGGCAATGCTACACCCTTAAGGGGGCAAGGCTTGTAGGTTATATATACAGCCTTCGGCATAGTGCTTGGAACTTCCAGAGAAACAGCGCGGGGAAGAGAATTCAGTTGAGGTTTAGAAGGGGGACTGTGCGAGAACCAACTTGAAGAATGGCTAGACTAGACGCTTGAGGCCACCAGCACGAATCCAGTGGCATCTCTTCAAAGTACCTGAGGGAAGCCCAAATTTAGAAGCACCCCACTTGTATGCCCAAGCTTCATTCCCTTTGGGGACAGGCCAGCTGCTTCCAGGTTCTTGTCGGTTGTCTCCTTGTCCCACAAGTACAGAGCATGCTCCTGGACATCGCAGCTTCCCAAAACCCCCTGTACCCTTGAAGTCTCTTCTCTTGCAAGAAGGACAATGGGACACCGGATACCGCGCAATGCATGGCTGGGACTCTGACCGGTGCATCATGGAGATACTGAACCTGAACGCAACACTGCCAGGCACCATATCGTGCTGACAAGGACCAGAAACTGCCGGGACAACGGGACGCCGAGACCCGGGACGCTGGAAAGACTACTTTGGAATGGGAGACCGGGACACCCAAACAACTCCCGGATCGCCCTGCGCCCAGCGCGGCTCCCGACCACCTCTTTTGAGAATGAGGAACCCCAAGCTGATCGCTCTGTGGGAATAAACAAATATATACAACATGTGTGTGTATACATACACCATCCGGAAGACTGGGCTTCGTGGATGCAGGCTTGATGTAGGTTTTTCTTGTTTTAAGGTCTTAATCATGTGGGCCCGAAAATCTAAATCCAACACCCACAAAGTTCAGGACCAGTCAGTCCTGGGCAGAGGCCGGGGGTACGAAAGGCACATCAGCCTTTGCCTCCGAGCCAGACAGGGGACAAGGCAGGAGTCAGGGTTTAGTCTTGGGGGCTGAGAGGCTTGAAGCATGGAAAACCTGCAAGGAGTACCTGAACCCAACTTTGCAAACAAAGATGAGAGGGACTAAGGTTTAGGATTGAACTTCAAAGGTTTCAACTCCCGTCATAAATGCTCATGTTGGAGACCGAGGCTCTGTACAGTCAAAACTAAACGCAAACAGCCTCGACGTTCATGGAACGCTTCATGAGAATTCCCAAATGCCCCCGCCCCCCTGTCATATCCAAAGCGTCATGTTCTTGTGTCACTGAGGACATGATGATGGTTATGTAAGTTATGTCCCTAAAGCCTGGTTGCTTCATTCCCGTGTACGGTTGTATCCTCGACGCTCCCTAGGTTGGCCCTGAAACCCTCTGAATAGTACTCCTAGATAAGATCGATGGGGAAATATGAATTATCTGATCAATAGGTCCAAATACGAGTCCTTAAAGGCACCCCTTTGACCCCCACCCCCCCCAAAAAATATGTAAAAGGGGGTTTCACAGGCTAAGGCTTCAGGGTTATATCGCTACCCACTTGCCCCCCAGCTCTGCTTTTTCTTGACCCTGCCCCCTTATTTAGTTCTATGTTCTTTCGCTACCTGTTGCATTTCCTAAGCCCAGTTTCCCCGTATTTCCCGCCGAATTTTTAGCCCCAACTTTTTACCATCCCCTCATTCGTTTTCTCTCGTTTCCCGCCTTATCCATTATCCATAGGGGATTCTAAGGACAAGCTACCTCATTCATTCCGCAAAACCTACAAATAACAACACCCCTAAAATTTAATCTATCCACCTTATGCGTTCCTATATTCTTAAAGTCCTTCCCATATGCTTGTTTGAATGTTTGTTGTTGTTATGATTTATAGCAACAATAAACCTAATTTCTTCCCCATATCTCCCCCTTCTTCGTTTCAGTCTTTTCCCAACTTCTCAAGCTTCTGGGGCTTCCCGTGTTATAGTTAGTCCTTTTGGTAAAGGTTTCATATTTGAAGAAGACGCTCAACGACTACAACAACTTCGAAGAGGCACGTCTGGCATGTCTTAACGTTTCAGTCAGTCGATGCTTTCAGTTCTGACATTGACAAGCAACTCGTGAGCATGAGCACATTTGCTTTACAATGGTAGCAATTCGGCTTTCAAAGCACAATCCCCGCATTCTTTCGTTCGCTTTGCTTCTACCACTTGAGCATGGCGACTTTGTCCGAGATTGTCCCCGAGCTTTCCATGAGTGCTTCCGCGGGCGGCAGTGGTGATGACCCAGAAGACCAGAAGAACCCAATTCCTACCATTTCCCCCGATGTCACTGACGACGAGGAGAGCGACGACTTCAACACAGACGAGGAGAATGCACTCACCAAGGCAGTGAAGGAGATGAGCCTCGATGAGAAGGAGACCTTGAAAAAACGCTACGACAAGCAGATGGAGACGTTGAAGGCAAAGCAGACCATCGTCAGCATGGAGCTTCGCAAGCACCTTCGCGAGATTAAGAAGGAGGAGACCAAAGAGAAGAAGGAGCAGAAAATCGAGGAGAAGAAGGCGAAGACGAAGGAGAGCCGTGAGGCAAAGGTGACGGTGAACATCGTGTTTCAGGGGCGGACATACTCCATCAGCATTTCGTTGATGCGTGGCATTGGTCACCTTCGCGACCGCTTCTTTGAGGATGCCGCGATTTCCCAGAAGCAGGGCAAGGACATCATGTTCACCTTCGGCGACGTGAATCTCTTTGAGACCTACCACGCCAGAAAAAGCTTGCGCGAGGTTGGTATCGTGGACGGCTCGGTGGTCTACGCTTCGATTCGCGGAGTTGGAGGAGGCTTCCGTCGAACCATCAAGTCGCATCTGAAACCAGATGCTGCGAAGGCGGCTTTGAAAGAGAAAATCAACGATGACTACAAGGTTGTCTTTACGCCCACGTGTGACTTCCCCGAGAGCTTCCAGACCTACCTCACTGAGATGCGTCAGTCCATGGCAGAGATAAAGTTGTTGCAGTCCAACGTGAACTTCCCGCTCATCGAGTTGGCATTGAAACAGTTGTCGGTGGAGAACCTCCAGTTGCTCCTTGACATTCTGAAGGTTTCGGAGGGCAAGCGCAGAGGCACAAGCGAGGAGAGGCTTCACAGAGCCTTGTCCGTTGTCTTCCCGAAGATGTGCTCAATGGGTGACTGCATCAAGGCTATCGAGGCATTGCAGGGGGACATGACCATCCAACTGTTCGAGATGTTCATCGACCACTATGGCGTCTTCAGGAACGGGGAAATGGTCATCAATGCTGTCGGCTTCATGGAAGACGTGAAGAAAGAGCTTATCAAACGTGAAATCTCAACCCCGGCAGATGAGCACTTCAAGACCAACGATGCTTCGTGTGTCGCGTTCTGAGCGCGTAGTTCCCTTTACGCGATTTCGCCACCGTTGCCAGTCAGACCACCCGAAATAGGGGACTTTACCGCCCAAAGTAGGGGGACTTTACCGCCCAAAGTAGGGGGACTTTACCGCCCAAAGTAGGGGGACTTTACCGCCCAAAGTAGGGGGACTTTACCGCCCAAAGTAGGGGGACTTTACCGCCCAAAGTAGGGGGACTTTACTGCCCAAAGTAGGGGGACTTTACTGCCCAAAGTAGGGGGACTTCGCTACACGGGAACGGTGCTTGGATTGTTGTCGTCTATGCAGTTGATGACAGCAAGGGACTGAGATGTGCGACCGCAGACACAAAAAGCAGGTGTCACATCAAAGCTCTGCATTATAATCCCTAAACCCCTAAACCTAAGATATACAATATTTACAAAACAGACCCAAAAATAATATCCACCCGAAAATACCCACAAATTCCCAAATAGAAGCATCACCAAATCCCAGAATCCTTTCTATCCTACATCCTAAACCCCCCAAAACCCCAAAATAACAAATATCAAGTAGTCATATGCATAAAAAAGACCCGAAAGCAATATTCGCCCAAAATACCCACAAATTCCCATATAAAATACACCCAAAATCACAAAATAAAATATATCATAGACCCTACACCAAAAAATCATAAATCCCCAACTTCGCCCGAGGGATATTGAATAAGAAAAGAAAACTTTGACTAAGAAAATGACAGGTGGACGTCTACATGCAGAACACTCACCACGACGAGTTCGACGCAACGGTGCGCCCTTCCTTTGGGTTAGGGTTTTAGTTTAGGGTTTTTAGTTTAGGGTTTCAGTTTAGGGTTTAGACCCTAAGCCCTAATCCCCTAAACACTAAAAACGCGGACAACGTCGGCTATTCCTATCATTGAGACGCAGAAGTCTCCAAAGTGTCGGCTCTTCCTCTCATTGGGACGCGCTTAGAGGTTTAGGGTTTAGTCTTTTTAGGGTTGTTGTGGTTTAGTTCTTTCGGTTTAGAAGGGTTGTTGTGGTTTATGTTAGGTTAGGACTATGTTTTAAAAAAGGGGCATTTCACATTCTTTTGTTTTCGTTTTATTAAAATATTCAATGCCCCTTTTTTGGCGGTGTTTAGGGTTTTAGTATGCTTTATTTATCGGGCAGTCGCCCTAACCGCCGACCACCAGCACCACCCAAGCCGCGCCAAGCCCAGCCCAAACCACACCCAAACCCAGAAAAAACACCACCCAAAAGGACTTAAAGACTTGAAGCCTTATAGGGTATAGGTATATGGTAGAACCCCGTTTAAACGACGTGATGAAGTATGTTTTGAGTAGTAATATCGGTGAAATAAAGAAGAGAGGTAATAAAGAATTAAAAAAAGTAGTGATTAATGGTAATGAATACAGATATAATAAAGAACAACCCTTCTCAACAAAATTAACCAACAAATTGAATTCAATTGCTAAAACTCAAGGTTTTAAACGTTATGAGATACTACACAGAGCAGGACAACAAGCAAAAACGAGACAAGCCCTTAAATCATACGCAATAAGAAGAAAAGCAAAAATCACAGACGAAAGACAAGCACTAAAAAGATACGCGAACACATATTCGATTACTAATATTAATTTGAACGGTTATCGTGGTTTATCTTATTTAAAATACCAAAAAGAAAGATTAACCGAATACTTGAAAAAAGAAAAACAAATGAAAGTGTTAATAGAAGTGGATGTCGCATTTAATCATCCAGAAGAGGATGAAGTAAGACACACAATAAGAAGCAGAAGATACAACATATTAAACGAAGAAGATTTAAACAAAGCCATAAACAACATGGCGGGCGACATTGAGGAACAAATAGAAAACTCACAATTAAAACGTTCAGGATTAACAATAAAAAAGATAATGAAAATAACAATCCATTATGACAAATATGACCCTACAAGAGCAGGGTCTTATATTGAATTACCTAAGTGGATATCATTAAAGAAGGCATGTATCAACATTAAAAACGATGACGATTATTGTTTCAAATATTGCGTTCAATGTTATTTTTACAATATCTTTAAAAATCACAATCCCGAAAGAATGTATCATTATAATAAGTTGAAAAACAATGACTCTTTCTTAAAATGGGATGATGTTAAT